TTACTCTCTATCGCTGTCCTCCCTCTCTCTCTTTAATTAACTAGGTTTCAGTAACAAACCTTTGGGCTTTGTCGTTGCCATGGCTACCCAAACTCTGTCTCTAGTGTGTGTGTTTGTGTATGTGTTTGTTTGTGTGTGTGCATTTGTGTGACCGCTGGAAAGTACAATGAATGTGCATGCACATGTTTAAGTGTTTGCACCTTTGTGTGTGTGTGTGTGTGTGTGTGTGTGTGTGTGTGTGTGTGTGTGTGTGTGTGTGTGTGTGTGTGTGTCTGTCCATATCTCTTCACTTCATGATTGTGCATAAACATGAGTATTTTGGTTGCTTTGATGCCTTGTTTCCCCCGCAGGGCTCAGAGGCTATCTATCTACACAGAGAACAGCAGCATTACATGGCATCATTGATAATTCATCTAAAGTCTATTATGCTTTACATAATGCTCTTTATAGTCTTAATGATTATATAATCCCATGAATAAAGATAATAAGAAAGATGAATTTAATTTTGGGAGATAAAGTAAAATTCCTCTCTGTAAAGGTAGAAGTTGAACTTGTGCTTGAACTTAAAGCATCTTGCCTGAGACACAAATTGGATGTGGGATTATAGCTTGTGAATTGCCTGTGCAGCCAACTGTGTTTATGATAATGAAGCCATATATAGTGCTCTTAGTAGCCTCTGTAGCGAACATATATTGTAACACTACATGAAGGGTAAGTAATCAACCTTACATTAGTGTTTGATACATTTTTAAACACGAGACAAGAGCATTGTGAAGGGTTCAGTGCGCTTCACATGAAGCCCGTCTAGAGGCAGCAGCTGAGCGTCTTTGTCATCCTTTTCATTAGATTGTGCGACTGGGAATAGCACGGATTATACTCAAAGACATTCACGGTGTTGCCACTTGGTTGTACACATTGAAAGTGATGCGGAGAAAGCACCTGAGAGAGAAGTTGAAATCATTCTAGCCTCACACCTGTGTGCACCTGGAAGAAACGCTGCATGATGTAGCCCTAATTGTTGGTCTCAGACATTCAAAATACTAGTCTCGAGCAGACTCCTGAAATTGGTGCAGAAATTATGCAGGTGAGGGTGATGTTAGGCAAAAAAAATAATAATTACAGAGAAAAAAACACAACTCCTCTTCTCATTTAAACATAAATTGAGTTCTGGCAGTCTACTCAACTTTTCAACTATTTCTTATGTCTAAGTTTATAAAATTAGTTGAATTTTAAAAAAGGTTGGATTGTTTGAATGTAAAAAGTTCCAAAAGTTGTTGATCTCCTCATACTAGTCTTTCAGGTTTGTATTGTAGTTTTACTGGAAGCTTCAGGGCCTCATGTGAAGAGGACTATGGCCTTCACGCTTTATAACTGCTTGGCCATCTGGCGCACCATGCTACCTTTTTATTTTACCAATAGCCAACACTTTCTCCAGCATTCCAAGCAAGAACTTTTGTTATTAGCTCACAGAGGCTTTGACATGACACACAATGCTCTGCATCTCTTGGGATACCTTTTGTCATCATGAAATCTCTTTAAACGTGTAAATAAGTTTACAATGTTCAAATGAAAATGTGCAAAATAGCTCTTTTTGTAACACACCCGTTGCAATCCTTAAAAAAATCCTCCAACATTTCTGCTATTTTTTGTCCTTATTCCTGACTATAGCTGCCAACCACAGACAGTGTCGCCTCCCACTGAGACATTTCCAGCCGTTACAATGGAGAGTGATTGCAGAAAGAACTTTCTGTGATCTAAAATATCAGATACTGCCAGGCTTTGGTGTCAGTTTCTCAGAGGGAGAGAGAAGGACCTTTTTTTTTTTTTTTACACACAGTTTTTCAGCAGACGTTCATCAGTTTTACTGGGAGAAATCCAACACAGAGGAGGCAGAGATACAAATTCTACACCGATGCCAGCCTCCATAATCCACAAGACAACAAAGCTATAAAATATGTTGAATAAGAGGAGAGAAAGGTTTTTGTTTTTTTTAACTGACTGTTAGAATTTCACTGTGTCTGAGTGAGTGCACTCTCTGGGCTTTATTGCTGTGACATTATGGGAAGTGTTGGGCGTCAAGTGACATTGATGTAGACACACGGCAGGTAGAAGAAAGCGGTTGTTATAACACATTTTCATGATGTATCACAGGATAAGTCCTGAAATGCATTAAACATCATAAACCGATACATAACAGTAAAAGCTTCTACGGTCATGTTTTTCATTTAAAGTGCACTTCTCTTGGTTTGAGGCAGCTGCAGGTCCCTTATGAAATCTGTCATCTGTTGGAAATGCCCCATTTGAAAGTCAAGTGCTTTGAAAAACTAGAAAATTCAGGATTAGAGGTAAAACATCAGCACAAACATAATGTTTCACCTGTGATGACTTTGGATTCCTGTGAGACCTTAATTATTGACATCCAACCCCACCCAGTTTGTGTCTTTGTGTTACAGTAGCTCTTCTTACATGCAAACTTAGACTAACTATTTATGTGTTTAACACATAGATTTATATAACGATTTATATAACGTACACATATACAAGCTGACACATGAAGAAGTGCTGTTGACATGACATTTAGAAGATTTAAAATGAAATAATTAAAAAGATTCTAAATGAATAAAAAAAAAAACTTAGATTAAAATGTTTACTTCTAAAAGTACATGCAAAATGACCAATAAGGATTCACTGGGTCACCATACAGAGAATTTGCCAACTCATTCATTTAAGAAGAAACCCATATTTCTCAATGTTTGCGGATATCAGTTAAACTTCTGACCTTTATTCTGTAGGTTTGACAGGTCTGTGATGCTACTGTTGCTTCCTGTTGTAGTACTCTTGTGCTTTTAAATTGACATTGTCATATTGTTCTTTCTATAGCGACCAGTCAGGCTTTAATAGTGCAGAAAAATATATTTACTTTCATATTATGGAGGATTTACAAATACAAACTTTCAGAAGTGATTCCAGAGCCCCGTGTCAGATTTGTCTTTAAAAAGAAACCCTTCACTTCTTCAGGAGTGAAGATGTGTTTATATGGCCTGGGGCATTTGAACATGGCTGAGGATTAACAAGGCCCAGTGTGTGATATAACTCTCACGTACAGCCTGCAGCTAATCAGCAGAGGATGAATGGGAGACTTTCTTGGAGATATTTTATTTGTCTGATTCTGACATTTTTTCACTTCCTCATAAGATCTATCAGCTCTAAAACAAGCTTTTTTTTTTTTTTAAATCCATGCTGTATGCCATTCCACGTCTTCAAATAAAAGAGCTGAGATATTCACACTGGGAGATGTTACAGAGACAGTGGTTAACATATACAGAGAAGTATAGTGTATTTAGAGACTCAAATTAAGTGGGATTTACAGTTAATGAGGCAGTGGGGAACGGTGAAATGTTTAAGACTAGTGGATTCTTGAGAGAGACAGACGGCTGTGGGATTTAGTCTCTCTAAAACTGGCTTGCCTGATACTGTGTCTGTGTGGATACCCAGTTGGCACAATGCCCATACTGGCAAAAAGTAACTAAAATGAAAGATGTCCTCTGTGTTTTCTGACGTGACTCTGAAAGACTCAGATTTTCCTAACATGGTCGCAGCAGCCAAAATTTGATCCACGAGCAGGAAAATAATTGGAAAACATGAATTTCTTAGGTGTGCGTTCAGTTTAGAGTTGCGTGTGCTGCAGATGTCCTCATGCTAGCACTGCTGACTTCACAAGTTTATGAATGTGTGGGTGAGAAAAAACACTTGGATAATGAATGTGTCAGAAGCAGCATCATTATCACTTTTTCAACAATCTCACTCTTTAAACATGTGCAGGGACGTAATGATCGGAGACTCAGAGACGCAGCCTGCTTTTCTGGAATTAATTTTCTGGTTTCCTTGTTGAACAATTGACATTGAGCCATACTGCCTGCCTGTGTCTTCTCACAGAGTTGTTTACTTTTTTTCCTTTGGACTCTATAGCCTCAGCATGAGTTCACTTATTAGTTTTGCAGGCAGTGAAGCGACTCGTTCTTGTTTTGTGATGTGTCTCAGTCCTCGCTGACGGGACTCGGAGTCGGCTGCTGCTCCGTCTCCTCCAAACAGAGACTGAGTTACACCTGCAATGCCAGGTGATGCAATTACACTGCTAGTTGGCAAAAACCTGAGGCCCTGTGAGCCCTTGAGTACACACACCAAGAACCACTCTTGTTAAGAAATGCTGACACCTAACGTATTCTGTTCTAACGGACAAATGTGGAGACATACTTGTCTTCAGTGCTGTTGGTTTTTAAGCACGATAACATACTGACCCTATCTTCACGATACTTGGTCAAATGTTTTTTTGGATTATGGAGCCGCTGAGGATTGCAGTGAGGTCAATACTGAGTAAATCAATAGTTACGTTTTGTCTATTTTTTATATTTATATATTCATAAAAATCTCTTGGTTTTACTTGCAAAAGTTCTGAATTGTTGGTGATTTTGATGTGAATTTGGGGAAAATAAAACCCAACTTTTATATATCATTGATTAATCCTTTTATTATTTATTCCATTAAAACTAAAATTTCAAATTCTCATCACAACGTGTGAGGCGAGGGGGGATATTGTGTTGATTTGTAAAGTCTGCATCCAAACCAAAACTCTTTTTCATTTACAAACACAAACAAGAATAATCACTGAGACAAAGGCTTCTGAGTTGCAAACCAACTTAAACTTGACTCCACCAAGTATTTTCTTGCTTCAGTGAATTATTAATTGAAACTTGATAGGAAGAAAATCGATAATTCTCCGAGCACAATGTGATGTGTGTTTTGGATTGTTCAACGGTCTTTGAGTCAAATATTTTTAGTTTCACAATAACAAGTGATTGAAATAATAGATGATTCTCAAAGCTGATGCTGAATATTTTCTGCCCGTCCAACATTTGATGAATTGTGATTATTTTAGCTCTGGTTTAAATGTTCTCTGGCCTATTTTTCAGAAATATTTCTTCTTTCTTTTCTCTCTTCAGCCAACAAGACTCTGCTCGGAGGAGGTGGAGGTAAGTCACCACCTGTCTGATCCGCTGGTTTTGTGTGTTTGTCTGCTTGCTAAGATACTTGTTGCAATTCATAGTACAGCTTCGTGCTGCACAAAGTCTTCTGTGGATGCTGGATCATTCTCAGTGTGTGTCCGTGTGTGTGTGTGTGTGTGTGTGTGTGTGTGTGTCTGTGTGTGTGTTGATGGTCTGTCTGTCTGTCTGTGTTTTTCTTTGTATTTGGTAGCAGCCAGGTAGCTCTTTGTTGTGGCAGGTGTGCGTTTGCATGCTGAGCCGTGTGTCTGTCTGCCCAATTGTGTGTGCGTGTGCGTGTGTGTGTGTGTGTGTGTGTGTGTGTGTGTGTGTTTTTGCAGGTGCAATGTCAATAGCTTGTAATTTATGGGTGTGAAGTGCTGTGGATATAAACAGTCATTTTTCAGTGTATTGTTGACTCAGTGCTTTGCTGCGTGCGTGTAATGTTGGAAGTCCATGCTCGATCGATACTTGTAATAAATCTGTTCAGCTAATGCAGCGGCGGCATTCACTAAAATATGTACACGTCCACACACACTCAATTCCACCGGCCTGTCGGCCTTTATGTTTGTTAATGCGTGCACATTTTGGCAATGCAGCATTTGCCTGTGGTTTTCTTTGTCATAGTTTTAACAAACACTTTTAGCCTTTCAGAACAGCTCTGCTACTTTCCAATTAGAATGTATGTGTGGATGTGGATGTGTGGATGCTTAATTTTTTGTCTCTCAGTCTCCATGGTGACATATCAATAGGCACACCTGTATATGTATGTATGCATGCAAGTGCATTCATATATTCAGCTCAAAGGGAGCCATTTGCGTCTTCTGTTGAGCAGTCAGCACACACACGCAGGCTCCACCAGCTGAGCCTCAAGCTCAAAAAGAGCTGCACACTGTCCTGTTGCTACACCACACACACACACACACACACATACATGCAGTCAAGCACCTCGATATCTACAGCTCCGTTTGATGTTTCTTCATGTCTCTGATGGCTCTACGAAGACAGATGGTTTGAAGAGCGGAAGTGAATATGTGTGTGTCAGACTCTGGGCATGTGTGCCTCTCATGTGTGAGCATGGTTATGTTGGTCGCCCTGGTTTAGTTATTTTTAAATGTTCATTCAGTTAAATTTAACCTCAACATCTGTTTCATTTGAAGAAATTCCACCAAGTGGCTGGAGCCGACTCCATATCCAACAAACGCCGTCTGCGTATTTTGTCTGTTTCTTTAAAACGCTCTTTACACATTTTTTCTTTTTGGCTTAGTCAGTTTCTCTCTTCTCGTCCTTATTGTTTTTATTTCCATCTCTATGTCTTTCTCTCCAGCGCTGTCCTCCGGGGTTTGCAAAGGCATATAGAGCCTACAGTAGGTGTTAATTAGAGAGAGAGGAGTAAGGGTAGAGACAAGGGAAAGAATGGAACAAACAAGGGGAGGGAGGGAGGGAGAGGATGGTGCGAGCGGGAAGACTAAAGCAAACGGATGGATGCAAGTGCAGAATAAAGTGGAAATAAAACACAAATCATTATGAATCAATTTCCCTTCACCATGATCACGATCTGCACAGGGGAACCAAGTATCCTTTAATTTAGCTTCACTGAGTTTTTTTTTTTTTTTTTTAATCTTTGGAGGCGAGGCGACAAAAGGTCTTTACAGTTCTTTACTACTCACTCTCAAGGGTATCTGGGTAAATGTCATTCGGTGAGATCAAACGCACACCTGCCGACATTGTTTTTGCACTTCAATCTGGAGGAGTGCTGAGCTCCGGCAGCACATCAACAACCAACTCAAGGGCAGGAAATTAACCTTTTTTATGTCCACTGGCTGCATTTGCTCATTTATATCAGAGTTTATCTGCCGTTTCACTGCTTGGATAGATTTTTTCCAAACAGAAAAAGAGGCTACATTATGATTGAAAACTCAGTCAACCAGACATTTACAACACGCGTTCTATAAATAACAAACACTGTCTATATGTTAGTTTGATCTGGAATAAATGCCATCAAAACTTAGTGTGAGCCAGCACTCCCACTTTGATGTTTTTATTTGGTTCTTCTTCTGGGTCACCATATGTCAGTTTGTATATCTGGGATGTGGAGTGCATGGAAGTGTTTTTTTCACAGGTTCACGACCTTCACAGAAATGTCATCGACCATCAGTAAAATGTAAAAGGTCTAAAGGGATCCGAGGCTGGACTTAGCACATTTCGAGCATCAATAAACAAGTTTTACATTTAAAAAACAACATTGCTGATTTCACTGAAGGCTGGATGCTAGCTTTAGATGCTGACTTTAGAATCCAATCAGTTTGAAATCACAGCAATGGTTAGAGCCTTACGCCCTGATACAAATAAGCATAAGTAGGTCCATTTGAATATTCAAACACTGCTTGATTCAACAGCAGAAGCCTCACAGATGCTGTGGCTGAACCTTGGTGTGTACTCTGACTCTGAATAACCACAGTTGATTTCCAGTCTTTGAATGTGCTCTCACTATATGAAGGGATCGACTCATATTGGACAGCCACATGGCCCCTATTAACCCTCGTCGCACCCAAATCCCGCTCAAAGTGTGCAGAGACATGTCGTGTATTTGCTCTGTGATAATGATTCAACAAAAATTAATTTGAACATTTGCAACATTTCACCAACCTTAAATGATGAAGGTCAATTAAAACAAAGTGTTCACATTGTATAATTTACATCAGATGTGGTGCAATGATTCACTTCCTATACGCTTTAATATCACTTCCGTTACAGTCACTTAACTTTGATGTCGATTTCTCACTACTCAAAAGGAGTCTACCAGGTAATCGCTCTCATTCACTCTGGTGAGCCATGAATCACAGCTCAGTTTGCAGGATGGCATTGCTTCATGTTTAACTGTGAAGAAGCCTTTCTTCAACTTAACATTGAGACACCATGAGCTCTACACAATAAGAGTCAACTGAATAAAACTGAATGCCCTCCTAAAAGCTTTCTGACATCACCCTGACCTGATTTTTCAATTATTATTTGTTATTATATTGTGTTTTCTGCCATCCTTCCACTGCTCCATTGCTCCGTGACTGTGTTATATGACACAGCTGTCATTTAATCAACTGATGCAGGGATTAAAGCAAAAAAAAAAAAAAAAGGCAGAAAACACACAATCAAGTACAATATGTACCTAAATGCCGGTACAAGTAAATACTGAGAAATGAAAAATGTACAAATAGTACAAAGAGTGTGTGTGTGTGTGGGGGGGGGGGCATTTTGAGATGAAATGTGGTCTTTTACTTTAACAGCCTAAAGGTAGTAATACCACATAAATACCCTCTAACAAATATCGCACTGCACTGAAAACTCTTTAAGCATCAAACTTGAAACTCTGGAGTGCCAAAAAAAAGTTACCAGGAAAAATGAATGATTAAAGGATATAATCATATACATAAATTCTACTTTTTGATTCATTAATGGTCCTTCACTTTATTTTTTGCAGGTGGTATTGGCGATCTATTAAGTAATATAATTTAGTTAAAGGCTACTGGATATCCCTCAGCCTACAATAAAGACATTGACACAATACCATTTTTACTATTTTTCATTATTAATCTGAATTATTTAAAAAGGAGCCAAGCTTAAGATGTTGTCAGTGGAGTGAAGATTTATTTCCCCCCCTTGAGATTGAATTCAGTAAAAGTAAAAGAGACAGTAAATAAACCCAAGTAGAGCACAAGTCTTAGCACAAGAACACATTGCTGAGACTTTTTACCTTAAAATGACAACAAGACCATCTTGTTCTGGAGTGTTCTATTCCTTGTTACAGTCCTGTGAGGAACATACAATAACAAGTGTGAAATATAAAGCTGCACTCAAAGTCCATGAGTCAATCAATAGTGATTACTGGAAGAGTTTCTCTGTCTTCTTAAAAACAACGTTAAACATATTTTTTTTAAGTTGATCTTTGAAAATTCCAACATGTTTCTGAGCTACTTAAGCTACAAAAATACTTAACTGTACCCTTCAATTTTACAGTATCGTGCTGTTACAGTAAGGTTTCTATTTTCTTAAATGAGTCATGTTTAATAGTTATTAACTGTGTTCAATACTGTGTTCAAAACTCCTGTTCAGAATTCCCCGTATTTTTTACTGCAATGTGTTACAGTTTGGGCAGAGCTATCTCTCTTCACACGGGTAGAAGGGCTAATGGTTGGAGAGGGAAGGTTTAAGGTAAAAAAAAAAAAAAAAGCATATATGAAACATTTATAGGCCTCTAAGCGAAACACAAACAAGTTGAAGGAAGCACAGTCCAAGTCGGTGTGAATGAGAACAACAAACCCAGTGGAGTCTGACTCCAACTATTGCATATTATACCTTTCACAATTTCAACAAGCATTAAAAACTTGTAGGAGAAATAATGAGTAGACTATGCTGTCCAGTGAAAGCTCTTATGGTCAACACAGTAACTCTGCCTCAACACTGTTCTCTGAAAAGGTGATGAGTACAAGATGTGGCTTCTCCCACGTTCACTGGGACATGTAAACTCTTGCTTCCAACTTGATCTTGTCACCCACCTTATCTACCTGTAAATTCTGAACTTATCCCTCCACGACACAGTCAAGACCCTTTTGATGGCCTTTGTGAAATAAGGCCTTTCTGTCCCCAAAACGTGATATTTCTCTGCCACTGACAGCTACCATTGTTTGTTTGGGCAGCGAGCTGATTGTTTGAATTGTTTGACTGTTTGACCTATCACTGAATTAGTGATAGGTCAATTGCTGTAGTCATGACATTTGAGAGTCCCAACAATTGATGGTCAAGTGGGATTGGTCCAATTTACAATGCGTTCCATCGCCATGAGCTGAAAGTCTTGGTCCATGAGACGTCTGCTTTTGTGACATGGTAATCTAAAAGCCCCCCCCACCCCCCATACCAACCTTTGTTCCTTTGTCTTATTTTACCTAGGAATATCTTTTTAATCATCTGTACTGTGAAATATCAGATTTAATCAG